GCAGAGCAGTAAGGAGGCGGAGGAGGAGGAGGAGGAGGAGGAGGAGGAAGAGGAGGAGGAGGAAGAGGAGGAGGAGGAGGAGGGAGGAGGAGGAGGAGGAAGGAGGAGGAGGAGGAGGAGGAGGAGGAGGAGGAGGAGAAAGAGGAGGCGGCGGCGGCGGCGGCGGAGCGGTAAGGAGAAGGAGGAGGAACAAAACAAAGGAAGGAGGAGGAAGTCCCGTTCAAGGCCGAGGGCGGGCGGGACGCCTCAGAAGAGAATCTTGATGATCACCAGTGAATGTCAGCAGCCCAATGTACAACATCTCCAACCGTGTTTTGCCATCATTGCGCCTTTTTCCCGCTGTTGCCTGCCAGCTTCGCAAGCCCTGTGCTGCGCAGAATCTCCGCATAAACTCTTCAAACCTCCTCCACGGCGGTGATGACGGGCGCGTGAACCTCGACGATCCCAAGTCGGATACAGCGGCTTGTAAATCCGAGTCTCTACAGACGGTCACCTTCTGAACCCCGGCTGCATAGCTCGATGTTTCAACTGTGGCGGCGAATTTCCACTTCCGCCGAAAGCGCTCCGGCACCCATTCTTTGATGTCGGCGTTGCCTGCGTGCTCTCGCGCTTGGTGAGTGGCTCGTTGGGCCCAGTCCACCCACTGCTCGTCCTCTTGCCGCCCGCAGGCAACGATGCGCTGAAGCACGGCGCTCTGCGTAGCCTTGAGTCTCTGCAATTCTACTGATCGCGGTGTCCACGACTCGGCTGCCCACAGCAAGATGCCCGTGACCGTGGCGTCGAACAGCTTCTGGCGCTTTCTCTGTGAATGCGACTTGGTCAGGAGCAAACTCTTCAGATCCCAAAATCTCTGCCACACGGCTGCGACGCGATTCTCGATCTCTGCCCCGGTGGCGTCCTCCAGGGAAGCTGCAACTCCAAGTCGTTCCAGGGACTCTCTTTCTCTCACTTCATCGACGCAAGAATCATCAGCCGAAGGGTCCTGGCCTTTGGGCTTCGGGGCCCAGGACAACGGGCAATCGATAGGAATAGAGGGAAAAAGCGAAGAAGGATTGGATCCCCAGGGGAGGGGCACTCAGTAGGGATATACATACACGCCAAGGATTCGAGCCCCAGGAGAAGGGACAGACCAGAAGCGCTCCTTCAAAACAGGCGTCTCGCTCGAGACGTCCTCGAAGATTCTGCGCGCAGGACGCGTCATGAACTGCATACAAATTTCAACGCACCTCTCACGAGGATTCTGCGCAAATCGCTCCGCACCGTGTTTTGCCAAGGAAAACGGGAGTCTGGGGATCCCGAGACATATCGATGATTCGACATGGTGTGTGTGTGTGTGTGTTTGTGTGTTCGAGCGGGCAAGCGCGAAACGCATTCTTGCCATTGGAGTTCAAAATTTACCATGTTTCCATCGAGCGGAAATTCACCAGCCCTGAAAGAAGATCCTGGGCAGAATCCTCTTCCTGGAGAAGTATGCATGTATCTATCATTTTTGTCTGTTTTTTCACATCACAAACCAGCTCATTCTGTCGGGCGGTGGGAATCTCCTCCTCCTCCTCCCCGCTTCCCGACCCCTCCCCCTCCTCCCTCCTGGCCCTTCCCACCGCCTCCCCCAAGTTAGAAAATCAAGTGCCTAACCGCACAGGCAAGGGTGCGGGCGGTGAATTCTCGGCGCAGTGCTGTTCTGCTCGGCGCCCTCGAATTTGAGCTACGGAGTTAACTATTCATGTCAACCCGCGGAGGCGCTTGCCAAGGGCAGGGCCGAACAGCGCGGGCGAGAAAGCCAAATGAAAACCACCGGCGCCGTGCCAGCCACTGGACACATCGCGTGCCGCCCGACCCTGGAGGGCAACGGTCGGGGTGGGACCTCCTCCTCCTCCTCCGCTTCGTCCTCCTCCTCCTCCTCCCCTTCTCCCCAACCAGCGGCACTTTCTTTTGATCTCGGCGGAACGTTCCCTCCGCCCCCCAGGGCGCCTGGGTCAGGGGCAGTCGCTCGCAGGCGTGCCTGGGTTTGATGTACCTCTGAAACAGGGTGGGCGGAAACATCAAGCTGGAATCGGCGATACATCGCCGCTAGATTGGTGATAAGCCTCCGATTGTGAATCCGCACGGTCCTGAGCGGGGTGGGCCATCAGGCCTCTATCGGCGATGGATGGGCGATTGGGGGTCGATGCATTACCCCCTGAGCAAATCCCCGCTATCGTTGCCCTGATCCCCTCTCCCCCCTGTCGGGTGCTGCCGGGGAAGCCCTTGGCTTCAGGTGGCCCCGGCTTCTCCGAGGAGGCCCAGATGGCCCCAGGGGGTCCAACAGGACGCGGGAAACCAGGGACAACTTAGGCCAGGAACACCTGACACCAGACCTCCTTCTCAGATGCGTGGCCAGGCGTTGCCTTTGCAGCGCGGAAGCGCTGCGTTGCAACGCGGAGGCGTTGCGCCATTGCGATAGAAGGACTCGCACCGTGGGGGCGCCTCATCGCCGTGGCAGTGCCTCCCCGCCCCTGTGGCCTCCGTGCGCACGAACGGAAACCTCCACACCCACCCGAGGCGTCCAACGTCCCGACCTCTCCAAATAACCCGGTGCCGTGATGACGTCGGCGTTCTGTGTTATCTGACACCGCATGCCTCGTTCAATCTTGACTGGCCGCGACGTACGACCGCGCAAGTATTTTGATATTGGCCAGCATGGGGCCACTGGCGTTCAACCTTGAGCGCCCGCGCTGGGGTCGCCGCCGCCGCGTCGACACGGCGTCCACCAACTGCAACAGGAAGCTGGGAACATGCACGGCCACAAAGACGTGGAGGACGAGGATGAAGAGGACGAGGAAAAGGAGGAGGAGGAGGAGGAGGACGACGACGAGGAAAAATGATGGGAGGGGGAGGAGGAGGAGGAGGAGGAGGAGGAGGAGGAGGAGGAGGAGGAGGAGGAGGAGGAGGAGGAGGAGGAGGAGCAGGAGAATTTGTTGCCCGCGAGGCTCCAGCTGCATCAAGGCACAGCGGCTGTCTGGGAGAGAACCCAGACAGTCGAAAAGGTTCAAGGTGCCGCCGTGCCAGACCGCAGTGAAAGACTGGCACTGGAAGGCCTCCAAGGCAGAACCTCGGAGGTCGGTCCCTGGGCGTCGGCAGACGTGTAGGGACACTCCTGGATCATCACGAGGATATCCCAAAGAGAAAAAAAGCTGCATCACATTCGGGACTGACCTGCCCAGTGACGACAAACCGAAGGAAACACCAGACGGCCAGGCCAGAACGGAGCCAGGAAACTCGACCAAGGGCGATCAGCCTGCGGGCCTCGAAAGAAGGGCACCAGGGGCAAGTATCAGGGGACCCCAAGACGAAGGAAGGGGGCCAGAGGCGCGGCCTGTGTCGTGCCTTCCTCGCCACAAGCTAGACCCCACGGGCCTGCGCGGCCACACCAGCAGTCAGGCAAACTCTGCGAAACAGCGCGTGGGTACAACACTACGGTTGCACGAGCCCCCGCGACAAGAGGGCAACAAAAGAAGATGAAACTACGTAAACAGATCCCGACCCGTCTCGCCTCCGCCTCGGCGACCCGTTCCTCGCGCGAGGGGCGGGGGCGGGGCGGCCGGAGGCGGGCCCGACGACGACGAGGGCGACGAAGGCGAAACCCACGGGGGCGGCTGCGGGGGGGAGGTGGGACAGGAGCCCAGCGTTCCTCCTCCTCCTCCTCCTAATCCTCCTCCTAATCCTCCTCCTCCTCCTCCTCCTCCTCCTCCTCCTCCCGTCAGCCGACAACTACCGGACGGGAGAAATGACGCCGCCGCCCCCCTGCGGAAGGCGGCCGCCACCTCGCGGAGCGGAGCGGCACCGGCCGGCACTGATGCGGCCTCCTCCGCCCTCCTCTCGGCGCCCGAGGGGGGCAGGTCAGAGGCAGAGAACTTCCTACTCTGAGGATGTCTACAGAGCCAATCCGCGCATCCGGCCTCCTCGGGTCGGGATGCCGACCCCTGGGGATCTAACTCCATGTAGTCTTTTGGCGGGCCTTCATCCTCCTCGGGCACTTGGCGTTGTAGAGGTTGGTTGCTCTTGAGAGGTGAACCCACCGAAACAAAAACGCAGTGAACACACAAAAGAAAGAGCTGGCATCTGAACAAGCGGGCACTACGATGCTGTGTCCGCAACCTGTGACGTTGGCCAGATCGATTTCCCTGGCCCCCCCGCTGCAAGCACGAAGCGGGCGCAACGTGTCTGTGACATGTTACGGCCTTGCTCGCAATAAGCGAGGCATCTCTCCACCCCCGAACTCTCTATTGGAACAAACAGGTGGCCCGAAGTCTCAAATCCCACCGAAGGTGCCAGACTGTCGGTCCAGCCAGGACAGGGGCCATCGGCCCAGCCAGCCTGTGGAAAGGAGGTTTGGCGGCGTCGGGCGCCCGATAGTGAAAGCAGGGGCCCCCGCAGACGTTGACGACGGTCCTTGTTCGGGTGTCACGCCTCGGGCGTCGGATTTGGGCGCGGATCCACTACGGCTCCTCCTCCTCCTCCTCCTCCTCCTCCTCCTCCTGCTGGTGCACGGAAGAGCTCCAGCGCAGACAACTGAGCAAGCACGGCAGACTCGTTATTCCCTATGGTACTCGTGCAAACGCGCGCAAACGCACAGACGGCATACCAGAAATTAACATACACATTGCCGCCGAGGTCCTTGCTCCTTGCGAACACACGCAACGCGTGGCCCATTCTGCGCTGAGATCAGCTCCTCCCTTCTCCTCCCTCGCCCTCCGTCCCTCCCTCCTTCCTCCTGCGCCTTCGTCGTCCTTGTCATGGTCGTCGTCGTCGTCGTCGTCGTCGTCGTCGTCGTCGTCGTCGTCCTCGCCCGGGCCCTCCCTCCCGAGGGGTGGGAGTCGCAGGCGCCGGGCCGCGAGGCGTGCCGCGGGGCGGCGCGCCGCGAGGGGCGAGGCCCCCCCGCGGCAGCACGGCGGCCGGGGGCGGCCCGCGGCGGCCCCCCGGGGGCCTCAGGACGGCGAGGGCGGGGCGCGGCCCGTGGCTCAGCAGGGCCGCAGCCTGGCGCGCGCACGGCGGTCCAGGCGGGGAGGTGGGCGGCAGGGAGCGGCGAGGATGGCGGCGGGCAGCGGTGGCGGCGAGAGGCGGCAAGGGCAGCGGCGGCGCGGGCGTGGGGCCTAGGGGGGGGGGGGGGCGGGCGGAGAGGGGCGAGGCGGGGGCGGGGCGGCCCTTCCTCTGCTGCGGCCGCCGTCTGGTCCAGCAGCTGGGGGGAGAAAGAGGGAGGGGGAGGGGGGCAGAGCGTCCCCCCCCCCGCTCCCCCCTTATTCCACTTCTCCCCCTCCTCCTCCTCCTCCTCCTCCTCCTTCTTCTTCTTCTTCTTCTTCTCCACCTCCTCCTCCTCCTCCTCCTCCTCCTCCTCCTCCTCCCTGCGTTTTACGTCGTTCTGGCTTTGGCTGCACGACCGTGGCCTCTGAGCGCATACGGGCGAAAGGAGAAGTGCTCATTCGACAATATTCGACAACACAGGTCAGCGAAGAGGTCAAGACAAGAGGGCGAATACATGGGGGTATTGTGTCACTCGGCACGGCTCGAATTCGCAAAAAGAGGAAGGACCAATCATGCCGATCGTAAGCCGCACCCGCCAGGAGGCACCGAACGTGAGGAGAGAGGTGACTACACACATCATCGGCACCGGCTTGGTGGAGCGAGTGGCACAGAGGTAAGAATCATTAAGAGGAGGAGAGGGCAAAACAGGATGACAAGGAGGAACGGATGGAGCAAACAAGTGAGCTGTGAGGTATGACGCGACGGCCCACAATACGGCAATACCCTTCCTTCTGTCGCTGGGGCAAAACGGACTCTCTTGTACAGCACCGCTTGGGCTGTACGCTGTCGCCCCGTACGGGAAGGCCCCAGGCGAGGTGGCAACGCCCCTCGTGATTCTTTAACGAAGTCCCGATCTGAGGAGCTTCCTCCCTGCGGTCTGCGTTCGGCCTTCGGGCCCTAACTCGGAACCTGAGCGGCCTGGGCTCAACGGAAGGCGTTCGACAAAGCGCAATTGATGGAAAACACCAGGAGGCCCAAAAACTTGCAGGATGTCCACAAGAAGGCAACACACGGCGGATTTCGAAAACCCTGAACCAGAAAACCTTGCAATCTTTTGGGAGGCCGATTCTTACTTCCGCCAGCTTCCGCCGGCGGAGGCGCCCCGGCTTTATTGCCGCCACCTTCCGCCGCCCTTCCGCCGACGAAGAGATGGCAACCCCTTCGATCCTCGATGGCAAAGCGAGGCAGTTCCTGGAACGCCTCAGCTTTGCGAGCACCAGCGAGGGGGAGAGGCAGCGGCGGCGAGCAGCGGCAACGAGAGGAGGACGCGGGGCGGCCCGCGAGAGGCCTGTCGAGGAGCCCTTGCAGCTCGACGGCGTGGGGCCGCCTCCCCTGCGGCCCCCGCCGCCGCTGCAGACGGCGCGGAGGAGGAGGGACGGGGACAGGGACGAGGAGGGAGGAGGAGGCGAGGAACGAGGAGCGTAGGTGGAGCGACGAGGAGGGACGAGGAGCGTAGGTGGAGGGACGAGGAGCGTAGGTGGAGCGACGAGGAGGAGGGACGGGGACAGGGCAGGAGGCGAGGTGGGTGGGCAGTAGCGTCACGGCCCCGCCCGCGCTGGGGCAACTTCAGGACGTGCCCAAGACCACATCGAAGTCGAGTGGAAGCCCCAGAGCCCGCTCGCAGCCTCACCAGGCTAGCAGGCAGCCTGAGGACGGGGTCAGGGGCCTCTCGCCGATGAAAGGAGGAGGGGGGCGGAGAGGCCGACGGAGGAGGAGGAGGAGGAGGAGGAGGAGGAGGAGGAGGAGGAGGAGGAGGAGGAGGAGGAGGAGGAGGAGGAGGAGGAGGAGGAGGAGGAGGAGGAGGAAGGGTGAAGGAGGAGAAGGCAGGAGAAGCGAGGAGGAGGAGGAGGAGGGAGAAGGGGGGAAGGACATGTTTGGGAGAGGAGGAGGAGGTAGGAAGGGAGAAGCGGGGGAGGAGAGAGTAGGGAGCGAGGAGAGGGAGCGAGGAGAGGGAGGAGAGGACAAGGGAGGAGGAGGGAGAAGGGGGAGGGAGGGGTTAGGGAGGGAGGGAGTGAGGCAGGGAGGAAGAGAAGGAGGGAGGTAGGAGGAAGTGGGGCCGCTGCCGGTGGCCTCCTTCTCCCAGGCCTCCACCTCTGGAGGGGGGGCGAACGGGAGGGCATGATCGACCCACGAGCCCAGAAAGGGATTTAGAACTGCGAGGCATGGGAACGCTTCCAACAAGGATAAACATACGTTGTCTGAAGGGAGGTCTAGACGGGGACGCCGGAGGGGAACGACAGCTCGCAAATAGTAAACCGTTTTCTCGACTCCTGGCGCTCAAGAGGTGTGTGTGTGTGTTCGCTGGACACTGCGTTCTCGTGCACGCGGCCGAATTCATTCAGGGCTATCAGATCGAACTGCTCAGCAGAAGCGTTCGGATGAGGCCGCGTCCAGAGGCCGCTCCCGGAAATCCCGGAGAGGGTGCCCCTGTGGGGCTCTTGAGGCCCTCGAACGGGGGGGTGCGAGGCGGGTTGGGCGAGAGGGGCCTCCGAAAAAGAACCCGCGCTAGGCTCAGGACCGCGGCCTATTCGGCCGCTCGCCCAACTTGCGCATCTTCTGTTCAAGGGACCTGGAAAAACTCATCTGGCATACTCATGCGCCTTAGAGCAACGTGTTGCACTCGCACAAGCTCTCCATGTCCCTCTTTTCCGAACTTCTCTCAAATCGTGATCGCCAACCCACGCATCAAAGGAAGGTCCAGTGTGTCGGATGTTGCGCGGCCGGCCGACGCGCTCGCGCGCGCCGAGCTCGGCCGTCGCCATGTACCAATAATTCCTGAAGGCGACCTTGCTCATGGGGAAGACCCTGTCGCCACCCTTCAGGTTCTGGGCCATCTTCTGCAGCATCGCACGTGTGGCGGGGTACTTCCACCAGCGCGCCTTGCACCTGCCCGGTCTTGGCCCTCTCGCCGCGCTCCTGAACTCCGAGGCGGGTGGCGGTGACTCCGCCGGTCTCCGCCACGTCGCTGGCCTTCGTCAGCTCCCAGTCCTGCTCTCGCAAGTGGCAGCCGAAGGCGAGGAGCGCCGCGTCCGCGGCAATCTGGCCCTCGTCGCCGTAGTTCGCCATCCGATCGATGCTCTCTACCAGCAGCGGCGCGACCACGGGCGCCCCTTGCTGTCCCGGCCGCAGGGCCGCCCAGGCCTTCGAGACGCGCAAGCTCTCGGGCAGCCGCCCGCAAGGCCGGGCGCATCGCCATCGTGCCACTGGCCGAGTTCTTGGCCCCCCCCCGCCAATTCTAGTCGTCGTAGCAGAGCGCGCCCACGTAGAGGGTGAGAGCCCGGTCGAGCGCGAGGGGCGGGAAGATGGCGATGCCCTCCCGGTCGGCCCATGTCGCAGGACCTCCCGCGGGCCCTCCTGCGCTGGACAGCCGTCGCGTCCACCTGCGCTTGGACCAGTTGTCGAAAGGGGCACTCGCCGCTCAGCAGGTCGCCCCCGCGGTGCGTGAAGAACTCCGCCCCCGAGGTCTCCCGGGCGAACCCCCCTCGACGCTGGCTCTTGGGCGCGCCCTCCTGGGGGAGGTGCGGCGCTCCTCGCGCTCAAGCGCGCGGCCTCTGCCGGCGACGCTGACGTCGTGGCCAGTCCGAGCAGCAGGTAGGCGACCGGGCCGATCCTCGGGCCACCGCGCGACGAGCTCGAGGGCAACGTGGAAGGTGAGCCCGCCGCCCCGAAGGGCGGCGGGGAGCCGGTGGGCCGTGCCCTGGGGCCGACGCCCCCGGCATGAGGGAATGTAAGCCCTTCGCCCCTGCCCCCCCGAACGCGTGAAACAGGTTCGAGACGAGGCCAACCCCTGCGGGGCCCATGGGGCCGCCACCTGAGAGCGCGACGAGCGCCGCGAAGAGCGCCGCGAAGGGCCCCGGCAGACATCCCCCGCAGCAACGGCCGACAGGGGGCCCCAGCAGAAATCCCCGGCAGAAGCGGCCGACAGGGGGCCCCGGCAGAAATCCCCGGCAACGGCGGCCGCCTTCTGTGCAGTGTCGAAGACCTCCGCGAGCAGCGATATGAATTCATGCCGCCACCGTGGCCTCCAGCTCGGGCGCCGCCACTCTGGCGATGAGAACTCTGCGCCCGAGGAAGGGCCGAACGCGAGCCGACACCTCCTTCGGCGCCTGTCCCCCGGGGCCCCCCGCTCGGCCGTCGGCGCGGTTCTTGCCGCTCGAGATCCACCGGGGGTAGATCAGGGCCCCGCGGCCCGTCGCGTCGGCGGCCAGCCCGCGGCCTCCGCGACCCGCTTCTGCCCTTCGAGACGGCGCCGATCGCCGCCACGGCATCCGCGATCACGAGGGGCCTCCGGTCCCGAGCAGATCTCATCCTCAGGGCCGACGACTGCGCGTGCAGCGTGAGGGCTCGCAGCTCGAGCACGTTCTGCTGAGGGTCTCGCCCGCCGCACGCGGGCGAGCTCGCCCCGCCTGCCCGGCGGGCCCCGGGTGGCCCCGACCTCGGGGGCCCTGATCTTGCCGACGAGGTCGTCGGCCGCCGTCGGGGAGGCCACCGAGCAGAGGGCCAGCTCCTCGCACAGGTCCTGGAGGGGCTTCCTGGAGCCCGGCCCGATGAGATCGAGCGCGCCGAAGTCGTGCTGCGGCAGCTTCGCGGACAGCGCGGTCGGGTAGCTCTGGGCCGAGGAGGCGCGGAATCCCCCATCCGGGAGGCCCCCTTGCCAACAGCGGGTGGCCCCCCCTGGCGGTTGCACCTCCGGCCCCGCAGCGCCCGCGCCAGGTGCGGGACGTTGGTGGGGATCGTCGCGGGTTTCCTGGTCTCGAGGCCCTCCAGGCACTGATCGATTCTGGCCCTGACGAGGTCCTGCGCCTCGCCGCTCGCGCCGAGAAGGTCGACCTCTGCCGTCCGAAGGCACCGCGCCCCCTTCACCCCCCTCCAAAACCCCTTCTTCTCAGCATCGCGCGAGGGCCACATTCTCCAGCGCCATCATGGCCGCTAGCAGCCAGATGCTCGGGCACGGGTCGACCCCCGGGCCCTCCGGGTGCTCCGGCGGGTAGTGGCCCCCGCCGATGACGGCGCACCCCGGGATCTCTATCGAGGCAGGTAGCAGCTCCCAGCCCAGGGCCACCTGAGCACGCTGCGTTCCCAGAGATCCCACGTCGTGATTTTTTCAACACGGGGGTCCCTGGAGCTCTCGACCCTTTCCCCAGGACCGGTTTTCATCCCGAGTAGTTTTGTTGACTGTGCGGCCGAAAGCCACGAACCACCTCCGTTCCGATTTTTTCAATGCGTCGGATCTCTGGGTTGCCGAGAAGCCCCCGAGACATCTGGGGCGGCTTCGGCTCGGCAGCGGGGGAGGGCCCGGACGCGCCCTGCTGCGTCGGGCCCGCGCAAGGGTGCCACAGGGGGGCACCGCGTGCGCAGTCTGGAACTGTTCTTCCAGGGCCCTGCGGCACAGCGCCTGCACCTTCTGCCAGTCAAGCATGTCGCGGTCGTCGTGGAGCTCCTTGTCGATTGACTCCGCCACCGCTACCCAGCGACCTTCTCTGCTCGGCGGTCCTCGTCAGGTGGTCGCCCACGTCCCCAGGCCTCCGATGGCCCGCGAACAGCTGGGCCACCCGGTTCGCCTCAATGCGCGGCGCCAGCGGCTTCATCGTGCGCCGCACCTCTGGGCCGTCCGGGTCGACGCCGCTGTCGATGTCCGCGCCGCCGGCCTCGTCGCCGCTGTCGTCGAAACCGACCAGGTCGGCCTGCTCGACGAACCAGCCCTTGGGCGCGGCGAGACGGGCCTCCCTCCCCAGCTCCTCGATCGTCGCTGGCGTCGAGAAGACCCCGGCTCCGATGTAGCTGGCATCGGCCATCATCCCGGCCTGCTCCAGCCAGGGCCGCCCTGGACGGGCAAACTCGGCCCCGAGCTTCGCGCTCGTCGGCGGTTCCTGGCCCACTGCCGGCTGCGTCGGAGGGGGCCGTCGCGGGGGGCCCGTGGCCAGCCGCTCTGTCGCTCTGCTGGGCCTCAGTGGAGTGCGTCTGGGCGGTGGGGCAAGCAACGCCGCGCGTTCCGTCGCTCGGCGCGGGCGCGCCTCCGCGGTGATCGGTCGGCCTTATGGGGCCGCGGGCCCGCGCCTAAGGTCGGCGCAGCAAACCTTGTCCCACGCGCCGCCGAGGGGGATGGCGGACTGGCGCCGGCCCCGTGCTGGCCAGTGGATTGGAGAGCACTGACATCCATCTGGTGACGGAGCCAAACGGCGAGCGCGCAGGCCACTGCCAGGTGCAAGCCGGGGTCCGCGGTGGAGCTTGCATCGCTGGGATGCGCCGCTCCAGCCGGCGGGCAAGAAGCGGGGCAGAAACGTCCGGCATTCTGTCGGATGAAAAGTCTTGGGGCATCGCCTCGGC